CCAGGGATAATAAGACCACTACCACAATTTAAACCCAAATTTGAAACACGTTTTAATTAAATACTGATGAGGTGGATAGACTCTGGCCCAGTCTGTCTCTGGTTCCCCAGATGATGGCTCTGAATCAAGTTTTGTAGCAGCTATTTCCCATCAGGTTCAATCAGGGGCAAGGACACATCCTGACATAGCTCTGGCCCACATCTAACCAAGGGCACATGTGATCAAGCACATCCAGTGCAGATGGGTCAAACAAACTTGTTTAGGGGAGTGAAAACATGTGGCTTATTATCTCCCATAAATAATTGCCCCAGCATTTCAGGAACTATCTGTCCTTGGGCATAAGGCTTGCAGAACAGAAATATTTTTTAATGAATCTCTTAGGCATAGCAATTCAAACTTTAAAAGTAACTTACTTAGTTAGGTTCTCACACATCCAGGACACTGTTCTTTTGTTGTAGGCTAATACAAGTCATATGCTAGTACCTGTAGGTATCGCTGTGGCCCTGCTCTACCACATTGCAGCTCCTTTTCCACTCTCAATAACAAAGGCTACATAGGCTGGCAAGGTACATGTAGGAAGCACCCAATGGGGTCCTCGAGAATTTGGTCCCAGGTAAATCAGAGGCTTCTGTTACCAGATTGGAGGACTGTAGAACTTGGGCCAATAATGGCAAGTGTTTAGAACAGAGTAGAGCAGACACGGTCCTGAGGAATAGGCCTGCCCCGCCTAGCTCACAGAGTAATGTGGAATGAGGCTGGGATTGTGGGAAATGGTATGGAGAGAAGTGAGACAGGGCTGCAGATGCCTCTCTGGCAAAGAGCCTTTTCTAATGCGCAAACATCTGGGGTTTGATTCTAGGCACGGGTGGGGGTGAGGAAAAAGCAAACACATGCAAGGGAAAGCTGGTGTGTGGCGTGTGGATGAGAAGCAGACTGTAGACTGTCTCATCTTCTGAGGATCTCACCCATTCCACACCCAGGATGTGGAAACTCAGGGTGGTCGATTTAGGGGATGTGTCACGTGATTTCTGAAGCCTGTGGGCTGTAAGCCATGAGGGGGTTGCCCACCACAGGTCATGAGACAGAAGCATCAACTTTTTGTTTTGCGCTTTTTTTCCCCAAAAATGGATTTCTCCGTCGCTTTGGAGCCTGTCCTGGAACTAGCTTTTGTAGACTAGGCTGGCCTCGAACTCACGAGATCAGCCTGCCTCTACCTCCTGAGTGCTGGGATTAAAAGCATGCACCACCATCTGCTGGTTTCAAAGCCAAAAGATTCTCCTCTCTGCTGTGGGAAGCCTCTCAAAACCACCCTTTTTTCATTGCTAGCCTGTCCAGTTCCACCACAGCTCTGGTGAATCCATTCCCATGAGAAAGGTTACCTGAAGGGGCCTTGTCTATGTTTGATGGTAAATGTACTGGGCTCAGTTCTCTAGGACTCTAAAACGAGCCTGAAATAGAAAGCCTAGCATGTCATTGTCAAAGGATCTTTGGTTTGCTCACCATTGTGAACCTGTTCTGGAGTTCAGGAGCTGTGCTGGATGCTGCGGCTGACACCTCCTGAGTCAGCTACTCTAAAGACAGAGGCAGGAGGATGGTGTGAGCTCATCCATCTTGTGAATGGATACTGAGGATGTGGCTCAGTTGATAGAGTGTTTCCCTAGCATGCAGGAAGCCCTGGCTTCCATCACCAGCACCGCTTTTGCCAGGATGGGAAGCTTTCCTGTATTCCTAGAAGTGAAGAGGAAGGGAGAGGGGCAATGAAGACATCTGTTCAGCACACTGGCTAAAGAAGGTAGACTCCACAATGGAAGCTGAGCCAGGATGTAACAAGAGACAGGAGCAGAGTCGGGCTGTAGTGGCCTGCTAATCTCAGTATTGGGGAAGAAGAGACAGGCAGATCTCTGAGTCTGAGAGCAGCCTGGTCTACAGAGCAAATTTCAGAACAGCTAGGGAAATCTTGTCACAAAACCTGCTCCCACCCACCAAAAAGGCAGGGAGATTGCAATAAGTTTCAGTTAGCCTGGGGAAAGTGGTGATACCCTGTCCAGACGAACCGTCAGTACTGAGAGCTGTGGCCAGGTGCCAAGAGCAGCTTGACGGCGAATCCTGGAGAATTAGGCAGTGACTCCATAGCTACTGAAAAACCCTGTCTCAAAAAACCAATAATAATAATAATAATGAAGAAGAAGAAGAAGAAGAAGAGGAAGAGGAAGAGGAAGAGGAAGAAGAAGAAGAAGAAGAAGAAGAAGAAGAAGAAGAAGAAAAGAGTGTGGACCTGAAGGGGGGGAGGGGAGGTAGAGAGAAACTGAGAGCAATAGAGGGAGGGGAAACTGTAATCGGGATATATTGTATGAGAAAAGAATCTATTATCAATAAAAAAGAAGAAAGAGGGGGAGAAGGAAAGGGGAAGAAAGGGAGGCATGAAAGAAAGAAAGAAAGAAAGAAAGAAAGAAAGAAAGAAAGAAAGAAAGAAAGAAGGAAGGAAAGAAAGAGGGAAAAGAGTCAGGGCAGTGGTGGGTGGTGGCTCACACCTTTAATTCCAGCCCTCGGGTGGTAGAGAAGGCAGATATTTGTTACTTCAGGGCCAGCCTGCTCTACAATAGTGAGTTGGAACGGCAGCTCAAAAAAACATTTAAAATAAATAAATAAATAAATAAAAGTAGAAAAAGAAAAGCCTGGCAGAGCAATTTTTCTTTTAAGTTAACAAAGATCCATTTCTTTTTTTCATTTACATATTCTTGAATTTTTCCTTTTTTTTTTTCTTTCGCTTTTTTTTTTTTTTTTTTTTTTTTTTTTTTTTTTTGGCATAGAGCAAGGAGCCTAGGGAGTGGTCTAGCCTGGCCTTGAATCTTGGTTCCTCCACCCGTCTCTAAAGAGTGGAGGGGCCTGGGGGTGGTGGCGCACGCCTTTAATCCCAGCACTTGGGAGGCAGAGGCAGGCAGATCTCTGGGAGTTCGAGGCCAGCCTGGTCTACTAGAGCTAGTTCCAGGACAGGCACCCAAGCTACAGAGAAACCCTGTCTCGAAAAACAAAAAACAAACAAACAAAAAAAAGTGGAGGGATTGCAGGTGTGTACTCCTGGGCCCCATTGGCGGAGTTCTGAGGTCTCACCCAGGCTTCACATGACGAGCACTCTGCCAACTCTTTTTGTTTTGATTTGTTTTTCCAGACAGGATTTCTATGTGTAATAGTCCTGGCTGTCCTGGAGCTTGCTTTTGTCTCCTGAATGCTGGGATTAAAGGTGTGCTCCACCATGCCAGATCTAAAACCAGTCTCTTAATGTGTTTGTGTGAGGTGCAAAGTAGGAACATTCAGCGTCACCTTGAGCTTCAAATGCCTCCCTTGGCTGCTGGAGGGAGGGTTGTGAACACCCTGTGTGAACACCCCGTGATCCAACTTGGCAAGAACTCGGGCACTGGGATTCAGACAGTGACTCAGACTCCTCTTTGATTGCTTTGGGCTTTTCAGTACTCACTGTTAGCTTATTTTACACATCTCTTTATTGTATGTGCATGAGGGTATGGCCTGCACGCATGTAAGTGCACAACACGAGTGCACAGTGCAGTGAGGTCAGAAGATGCCATCAGGTCCCCTAGAATTGGAGCTGTGGATGGTTGTGAGCCACCCTGGGAGTAGTGGGAACCAAACCTGTGTCTGGACTGCTGAGCCATCTCTCCTAACGCCAAGTTACTCAGGTATTTTTGGAAGTCAGTACACAGGCACAATAGCAGTCTTTCTCTATTCTTTATATCATGTGTTTAATTTCTATTTACTTTTTACTTCTTTCTTCCTTTCTTTATTTCGTTTTTTGAGGCAGGGTTTCTCTGTGTGACAGACCTAGCTTGTCCTGGAACTAGCTCTGTGGACCAAGCTGTCCTTGAACTCACTGAGAAGAGCGGGCTTCTGGAGTGCTGGGATTAAAGGCGTGCCACCACGTGCCTTGTGTTTAGTTCTTAGGGCAGTGTTTCACCCAGCTGCTAAAATGTCCTTGAATTCCTCCTAATTCTCCTAATTTCAACTACTGAGCTGTCTTCCTAGCCCTTTGCTCAAGTGGATTTGACAATCCTCCTCTTTCCAAGTAGGGCTCCCGTAGTACAGGGTACTCGGGAACTCACCAAGCATCCTGTGTGGTCCACCCTTTTCCCAGACATTCTTCTTGAATGGCTTTATTACTTCTGGAATTTCGGGCTTTGAGACACTGACTGCAGCCAGGGTGGTGCAAGCTGACAATTCACTTCCTCAGACTCTAAATGCTGCCTGTGGCCCAGCTCACAGGGTGCATCCGGGGGATGGGATTGGGGAACAGTGGGAATGGGATTGAGAGGAGCAGCGACTAGTCAGCTGAGACAGCAGGGGACGTGTGTGTAATTGTGAGTTTCCCCGTGCCGTCTGCCAGGGCTTTCTTTTTTCTTTTTCTTTTTAGACTTATTTATTTATTTATTCATGTGTACAGTATTCTCAGTATTCTGTCTGCATGTATGCCTGCAGGCCAGAAGAGGCACCAGATCTCATTATAGATGGTTGCGAGCCACCATGTGGTTGTTGGGAATTGAACCTTTGGAAGAGCAGGCAGTGCTCTTAACCACTGAGCCATCTCTCCAGCCCCCTTTTTTTCTTTTTCTTTCTTTTTTTTTTTCCTTCAGTTTTTCAAGTTAGGGTTTCTCTGTCTTTGGAGCCGGTCCTGGGAACTAGCTCTGGTAAAATCAGGCTGGCCTTGAACTCACAGAGATTTGCCAGCCTCCACCGCCTCCGGAATTAAAGGCATGCGCCACCACACCCCTGAGTGCTGGAATTAAAGGCACGCGCCACCACCTCTAAAGACTCTACCAGGACTTTCATGACTTAATTTGTTTGTGTGGTGGTGGTTTGCTACAGAGGTATGACTAGGCCCTTTAGTGATTTCTTTGATAGGGAGGAAGAAGGGCTTCCTAAGCCTCAGCCTGAAAAAGTGTTCTTTCCAGAAGCAACCCCTAGATTCTGGATCCTGAGGATCTACAAGAATGAGTGACCTAAGCCAAGCCACACACCTACAGCAGATACTACAGCACCTGCTGAAGGAAGAGGCCTTCGCCATCAATGCTCTAGATGACCTGCCCTTGCAGCTCTTCCCTCCACTCTTCAAGGAGGCCTTCACCGGCAGACACACTAACGTCCTGAGGGCAATGGTGGCAGCCTGGCCCTTCCACTGCCTCCCCATGGGGTCCCTGATGAATATCTCCCACACAGACACTTTGAAAGCTGTGCTCGATGCGCTGGATTTTCTGGTTACACAGAAGGTTCGTCCCAGGTAGGTAAGACCCTTCTAATGGTGCTACAGGTCCAGTCAGGGGACAACCGGAGAGAGGGAGAGTGTAGTCATATGCCGATCTGAGCTTTCTCACTGTACCAGCATGGAGGACTGCAGGGCCTTTTGTTCTTTTGCTTTTCGAGTCAGGGTTTCTCTGTATGGCTTTGGAGCCTGTCCTGGCACTAGCTCTGTAGACCAGGCTGGCCTCGAACTCAGAGATCCGCCTGCCTCTGCCTCCGAAGTGCTGGGATTAAAGGCGTGCGCCACCACCCGGCAGGCCTCAGATCTTGTCCCAGAAGGGACAAAAGACAGTCAGGTATGGAGGACAGCTTAGTTCTGACACAGCCTCAGAGTGAGCCTGTCCCTGTGCTTCCAGGCAAAGTGGGATCAGGTAGGACTCACGGGAAGCATGGTGCGGGAAAACAGAACTGCGGATGCCAATGGGGAAAAGAGCCCTTCCCAGAGGATGAGGCCATGGGCGTGATGCCCAGCTATGAAAACCAACAGTTACATATGAGACAGTGGAGGATGGGAAGTGAGGGAGATGTGGAAGAAGAGCAGACTATGTAGGGTCTGATCCCAGCTCTTGCTGTTTCTACCTGTTTTCCAAGGAGGTGGAAACTCCAAGAGCTTGATTTTCGGAAAGTGCACTCGGACTTCTGGGACGGACAGGCTGGAGGCACAGAGATCAGCTACAGCCAGCAGGTCCTGAGCCAGGAGCAAACTCAGGCGTCCGATCCACAGTGCGCTGTGAAGCAGCCCTTGAGGGTGTTAGCTGATTTTGACCTGTGCGGGGAGCATCTCAGGAAAGCTGACCAATACCTGTTGAGGTGGGCCAGGCTGCGGAAAGGCTCGGTGCAGCTGTGCTGCAGGGAGCTGAAGATCGGAGCATCCCACGTCTCCACTGTCCTAGAGATCCTGAGCATCTTAGACAGAGACCGTGTCCAGGAGTTGGAACGGAATTCCTGGTGGCAATGGGGAATCCAGGCCTGGCTTGCACATTTCCTCAGACAGCTGGGAAATTTTCTGGGAATCTCCAAGACTGTCTTCAGCGGTGACTCGGCTCCACCAGACGTGAAGAGCTGTGTTACCGAGCCGGTTCCACAGTTCTCCAACCCTGACGGTCTCCAGCGTCTCTATATGAATAGCATCTACTGTCTAAAGGGCAACTTGAAGGCATTGCTGCGGTAAGATGGGACGATGTCCTGCAGACCAGAGCAAAACGTTTCTCTGTGCCCTGCAGATAGGGGAGGGACCCTTGGTATCTGACGGGCACAATGGATCCAACAGGGCTGGAGACCCCGTGAAAGAGTGGCCGCCTGCCTCTGTGTTGGTGTGGGAACGGCTGTGTGGGGCATCAGTAAGGGGCTGAGAAGCTGGAGCAATTCCTGGCACTAACACTGAGTGCCAGAGGCTGGGGTGAAGCACTGTGAATGGGGATCAAGTCTGCTGCTGACGTCTGTATCCAGAAGGTCTGCGGAGATACCCCGAGTACGTAATTAGGTCTTTAATTGGTTTGTTTGTTTGTTCAATGTAGCCCTGAGGGGGCCAGTACTGGGGATTTTGGCTTTAGTAAAGGAGTGTCAGTGTGTACATCCTGAAGCAATCCCACTATGATGTTGACTGGCCTTGGTGTAAAACACTGTGACCTGAGTGAGAAGGTATTGACAGCATCCTAATGTGCCTGCCTGTCGAGTAGTGAGACTGAACTTGAGCAATGCTAACCCGCCCATCATAGTGTCGACCGCGGCACAACGCTCTCCAACTCCACTTGCAAGAGCTCATTTCTTGTCTCTCCCTAGGTGCCTGAAAACCCCCTTGGAGAACCTGTCCATCACTCACTCCCAGCTCTCGCAGGCCGACTTGAATCATCTACCCCTGAGTCTAAACCTACATCAGCTCATACACCTGAACCTCAGCGGTGTGGTACTGTCCCATTTCAGTATTGAGCCCCTCTGTGTTCTTCTGGAGAGAGTCGCAGCCACTCTGAAGACCCTGGAATTGGAAGGCTGTAGGATGAAGGTCTCCCAGCTCAGTGCCCTCCTGCCTGCCTTAAGCCAGTGCACCCAACTCACTAAGATCGACTTCCACGACAATGACAGCTCCATGGCTGTCCTTCGGGACCTTTTCCACCACACAGCAAACCTGAGCCAGCTGGCCCTGGAGCTGTACCCTGCGCCCTGGGAGTGCTTTGATGACGAGGATCTTGTCCTCGAAGATAGACTTGCCAGACTTTGTTCTGAGCTCATGGATCTTCTCCGAGCCATAAGGCATCCCGGATCTGTCTGCTTTGCTGCTGGTGCTTGCTTTGTGTGTTATGACTAGAGAGCAGACATCTTTGTGGACAGAGGGAGAGGGCTACTGCTGGGCACTGGGAGGTGACCTCCAAAGGAGGGGGGTGTCATCAAATAGACGCAGAACGTTGTGGGAGAGAGGGGATTAGGAATAATGATGTGGCAGTTCAGTTGGAAGGGGAAGTTGCCATGGAGAACAATGGGACCATGGAGACAAGTGACTTAAGAGCCAAATAAAATTTGGTATTTCTAAAAGAAGCTTCCAGCAGTATCTATTAATGAAGTAGTTGTTCCTGGGTGGTGGTTTTGATTCACTTGTCAGACCCTGAAAAGGTGAATGCTCACCATCTGAGGTCCTTTTTTTAAAAAAATATTTATTCATTATTATTCAATATTCTGTCTGTATGCCTGCAGGCCAGAAGAGGGCACCAGATCTTATTACAGATGGTTGCCGGGAATTGAACTCAGGACCTTTGGAAGAGCAGGCAGTGCTCTTAACCACTGAGCCATCTCTCCAGCCCTCTGAGGTCCTGCTTGGTCACTATTGTCTCCATCCCTTATCTGTGAAAGGAAGGAACGAAGGAAGAACTTCCTGAACTAAAGGGAACCTAACAGATCCATAACAATGAAGAAATTCATATGTAATAAAAATCTTTCTTGGACAGGCGGTGGTGGTGCACACCTTTAATCCCAGCACTCGGGAGGCAGAGGCAGGTGGATCTCTGTGAGTTCGAGACCAGCCTGGTCTACAGAGCTAGTTCCAGGACAGGCTCCAAAGCTACAGAGAAACCCAGTCATGAAAATAACAAAAAATAAAAAATCTTTCCGACTAAAGAACATCCCAGGCCTGATGAATTCATAACAGAATTTTAACAGACATCCAAATGAGTACTATAGTCAATCCTTCTTAAACTATCAAAACAAAACAAAGAGCCAGCCTGACTGTAACACCAGATAAAGGGACAACAGCAACAATAAAATAGGTGACTATCCCTCATGAACATAGGTCCAGTGCTTTCGATGCAATACTTGCAAACACAACACGGGCATACATAAAAAAGACCATCCACCATAAACATTTATCTCTGAAGCAGCAATGTTTCAACATACCCATGACTTTTAGAGGCAAAAGTCATTGAATTGATATAATAGAAGTGGAAATAGCCTTTTACAAAATCCAACGTGCCTTATAGCTAAAAATCCAACTCAGCTTCTTGTTAGGGAGGACTCCAGGTTCCCGCCATCCACCTCAGCCCTTTCTCAGTTGCAACAAATTTATGTGGTGTGTTTGTGTTTTGTTTTTGTCTTCTACTACAGCTGTATTTGTTCTGATGCAACTGCAAAAAGCCCTTTCAGATACTGTGCGAGCGAGAACCTCATCCCTTTCACCCCAGGTCAGATGGAATTCTTTACACCAGTCCTCTGTTTTCTCTGTTTCCTTTGATGCGCTGTAGTTCCCTGCTGCTTCTGCTGGCTCACTTTGGAGCAGCGCCCCCTGGCGGTGGGACAAGGCACTGTCCCCCCCCATCAACCCTAAACCTACTTCCTCTCACTGGATCACTGGCTCTCAGGTTCCTACCCCTCTCTCTTTCTGTGAAGCGTCTCGGTTTCACTCTGCAGCCAACTGATCCGGCTTATTACTTTTTAACGCTTATTTTTCAAATGTCCAAGAATGCATGGGAGTAATCTCTTGATCCACTGCAGCAGATCCTGCTCAAATTCCCCTTCTGCTAAATGACCAAAGGACTTTCCTCTTCAACAGACCTAGGACTAACCCCCTCTTGCCAATGACTCTGCTCAGCTCAAAGCAGTTAAGAAGTTGATGTCGCTGTTTCCCGCTTCTTTTTTGTTTGTTTGTTTTTTGTTTTTTGTTTTTCAAGACAGGGTTTCTCTGTAGCTTTGTGTTTCCCACTTCTTTTGAGGCTCTTGCTCCCCAACTCTTTCTGAGCTTATGGATCTTTGCAATGATAGAATGCCTTGGCTATAAACCAAGATGCCTAGGAAATTACAGACAATCTTGCTCCGCAGTTACTGGGCAGCCCAGAAAGGAATATCTGTCTCACCTGAGCAGACAATTTCAGGGAGGAGAGGCTGCAGGAGAGACCTGGGCTACAGCTGCAACACTTTCCTCATTCCCAGCCCCCACACCGCCGAGGCTCGCAAGCCTACAAAGGACCACAGCCAGCTCTTTTCCCCTGGCAGTCCCCCTCATTTCCTATGGGAGAGAGGCTGTCCTTCACTGTGTACTCGAATGCAAACAGTCCAGTCTGCTGAAGGTCAGACTCCAGTCTTTTTCTGCCTTCTCTCTTTTTAAGCTGACTCATAAATCCTACACTTTCAAGTTATAGGTATTTACCAACTGGATATGAAGAAAAGCTAATGTTTTACCTGTACTATGATAACTATGGCTAGTTAGCAATAATGGATTGTTTATTTCAAAATAGCTAATTGAGAGCATTTCACATGTCCCCAACACAAACTTAAAATGGCTGAAGTGATGGCTCTGCGGTCACCATGATCTGACCACTGTTTGTCAGACGTATGTATTATCTGTCACACTGCACCCTATACATGCACAAAATTCCTAGGTGTCCATTACATTTTTAAAGATATTTTAAATCGAGGCTGGAGAGACGGCTCAGAGCTTAAGAGCACTGGGTGCTCTTCCAGAGGTACTAAGTTCAGTTTCCAGAAACCACATGGCGGCTTGCAGCCTTCTATAATGAGATCTGGTGCCTTCTTCTTGTGTGCATAATAAATAAATCTTTTTTAAAAAGATATTTTAAATCAAAGGTAAAATAAGGATATTCTCAGACAGTATCTAAAAGAATTGATCATTGTTGATCCACACTATAAAAAAAATACTAAAAACTTCACTGAAGGGATACTATACCAGAGAAAAGAAAGCTACAAGAAGGGATAGCATTTCAGAAGTCCAGCCAGAAAGACTAAAGAGAAAATAAAACCTTGAGTTTGATGTTTATAAAGTACACAGAAACTACCGGTTGTGGGGGCACAGGCCTTTAATCCCAGCACTTGGGAGGTAGAGGCAGGTGAATACCTGTGAGATGGAGTGCAGCCTAGTTTACATAGTGTGTTCAGACTAGTCAGGACTAGATGGTTAAAGTCTGTCTCAAAAAGAAGAGGGCTGGAGAGATGGCTCAGCCATTAAAGGCAAGGCTCACAACCAAAAAAAAAAAAAAAAAGAGGGGGGGGGGGGAAGGAAGGAAGAAGGGAGGGAGGGAGGGAGGGAGGGAGGGAGGGAGGGAGGGAGGGAGAGTTGCACAGAAACCAAAATATCAAACAATAACAAAAAAGGCAGGAAAGGAATTGTTACACATCTGAGAAATACAAATTAAGAGTAGAAACAACAACTGGACAGTCACAAAGCCGAAAAATCCTGAGTGATGGCATGTGATCTACAGAGCAAAAGGGGCAAAAGGTGGTGCTGATGCAATCCACAGCTGTTTGGCAGGAGGTAACAAAGCTACATCAGATCAGAATCTAGGCAATCTTGTTTCTAGGTATCCCCACAAGGAGAAACACATACAAATTTATGAAGCTATGTGCTGAAAGTCTCTGTAGCAACATGGTATATCCAAGAAAAACTTTGGTCACAAATATAAAAATTAATTACAACAAACTGTTAATAGTCACTAAAATTAAGGAAGGAGTGTGGTGATAAAAACCAAATGATTTAAACATGAAAATGTGGTCAACTGCAAGTTAAAGTAAGTATAAAAAAGATACATAAATCAATTTGAGTTGGGTTTAACACTTGCAACCAAGTACTGAGAAGTAATTTTGCAAAAATATGTGTCAGAATGTAATTGTCTGTGAGAATGCCCATTTCAGAATTGCTAATATGAGGTTATAAATCATCTAGATATCCTGAAGTTTGAGCTGTTAAAAATCATTATGGTTTTAAGAGTCTTGTCTTTTAAGATTTATTTTTAGTTAAGTAGATGGAGGGGTATGGGTACGTGAGCATGGATGTCTGCTGAGTTCAGAAGAGGGTGTCAGGTCCCCAGGAGCTGGAGTTAAGGCAGTTGTGAGCCTCTTGAAGTGGGTGCTGGGGACCAAAGTCTAGTGCTGTGGGAGAGCATCCAGTGTCAGCCACCGAGCCATCCCTCCAACCCCTAAGTCATCTTTATAAAAGGATACATTGTAATTAGTAAGCAATCACTAGCTGTTACTCTAATTACATAGTAATCCTAATTGTATAAAGCTTTTAAGACACATGGTGGGGCTGAGAATAGGTCTCAGCGGTAGAGCACTTGCCTAGCACTAGCAAGACCCCAGGTTTGATCCCTTCCCTGAAAGGACACACCCACCACCGTGTAATGATAATAGAGGAGGTTTGGGGACTGGTAACTGCTGACTGAGCATCAAAGGAAGCCATTACTCTTTACCTTTTTAAATTAAAAATAAATGTCAGAGCACAGTTTAAAATAGCAAAAATGCAAAATACTAGAAGCCTAAATAACAAAGCGTGATAATGACTCATTCCAAGAGAAGACTAAACACGCCAACAAAGAGCTCTAAGGGAATAAGATGGTTAACCTTTCTTAATGATTCGGGTGGGCATCTTTCATCACAGGTGGTAGCCATACTGCTAGAGCCCAGTGTGCATCTGGGTAAGTGGGATTCAGTGACCATGAGAAGGATTTTAGATCTTGGAGTTTCCAGACTCCTACCAGATGCGAGACGAATGTTCATAGGAATTCCAAGGCTCATTCAAAGGCCAACAGCAGATATAAACTTTATATTAACTATTTACATAAACTATAAGGTTATGGGTAAAGTAACCAAGTAACCTAAGTCCACAATAATTCTCCTTTGACTTTCACCTCTCAGGATCCTAACCCTGATCCTGCACAATGGAAAGATGAAATCATATGTCTCTGTGACTATGATGCTAACCCTCAGACCTGTGAGGACACACAGAGAAGCAGGGTAATACATCTCCCAGTGCTTAGGTTTATAACATTTATTATCATACAAATTCTCATGAAACAGAAAGACTTCCTT